TAATTAAACAAAGACTGATCTTTTTATACCAGATTTTCTCTACATTGGAGTAATTAGCCAACTATTTACAGAAGTACCAACTCTCAATCAGTCCCATAGCTCATACAGTATATAGTCATTTACATATGAAAACTTCATCTAGGCCAAGGGGATGGGAAGTATTTTAGTGTCAACTACACAGCCAATTCCCTGTCCATTATTGAAGATTCAAAATTTCATCTTTTAATATTATTTCATTATTAAATATTATGTATCTGTATTATTATTCTTTATTAATATTCATAATCAGTTGTATCATCTTATGAAGTTTCAAAAGCATGAGTTTGAATGCATGAGGGGCTATAGATAGCATGGGTCCATGGGATGATCATATGTCAGACAGGGGGAAGCTATATTTTGCTTAGAGGGTGTGTACAATGTAACATGTTCTACTGATGTGAGTGTATCACAGATGTAAACAACAAGGATAGTTCTTAATATGGAAGTGAATTGTGACATGTTAAACATGACGTGTACGTATGACATATAGGTTCTAATTTTAAGAAGCTCAGAGCAACATGTTTTGTTACCTTACAAGGAAGCTGTAAGACTCTCTGTGATGTATAAAAACTCAATCTTACTGTACTACCTCAGAGAAACACGGAAACGCATTGACCTGGCATGAATACAACATCTTGAAGTTTCTCTCCTGACATATAAGAATAAAAATCTTTCTTGGCAAGATAACTGGTGTCCGGTCCCGTAAATCAAATAATAACGGGGAAACAAAAGAGGCTTTAATTCCAAGTCTACTGGTAGTGCTCAAAGACGAGAAATTTGTTCCAAAGAACAATGTGAAGTTATAGGGTTAAACCTCATAACGTCTACTAATGTGGAAATTAATTTAGTTCTGAATCGTACCCACATGCTTACAATATGGGATTCATTGACCCAAGGGTGTATTTATCCCATAGTGTTGCCATGTGAAGGGTTTCTGAGGGATGCTTCCTCAAGAACAACAAGATTTAAGGGAAATTATGTACGAGTATGGCATTCAGAAGATGAGAATGAATATTGTGAGACTGAACTGGAAACTGGGGAAATTGGAAGGTGTTTTTATCTTTCTGCGGTAAAGTCAAACAAAGCTCAAACATGCCCAAATACAACTATTGCACCAGCTCATGGTATTTTGTTGGCAAAAGAAACCAAAACCTTAATAAATGAAGCCCATATGGTGCGACAACGAATTAATTATAACTTGAACTCTCTTCTTACAGTTTTTGATCAGTCTTATTGTGGTAATTTTACACAAATAAAAAGTTGGTTGGACAAAGAAGTTAAATATTATACCTCTAAAAATCCTCTGAGTAGTAAAAATCGTAAAACTCGAAGTATATGGGGAGACATAGCGGGGGTATTTGGTTCTGTCAATTCAATTAGTAATACTGCTCAAATGAATCAACTAAGCGAGTATACTCAGTGGGTGGGGACAATGTCTGGGAAAGGACTCACTGAGGCTCTTCAGGGTTCTCTACATATTATAGCAGCGGGTCAGCATCTTAATGATGCTGCAAAGGAATTAGCAGATGCATTAACAAAATCGTCTAATTTTGAGACACATCGTGCAACGTGTTTATTTTTAGCTCAGAATTTAAAGGATCAAATGGTAGAAGATATTCAAGTTATTCGAATGGGACAAGTTCCTGAGCGAATAGCAGAATCTTTGTTAGTGGTTTTCGGTAATCAACTTAATTTGACTTCTGCTAAACATATTCCATTAGTTAAAATCGCTATTAATGAAAATTCGTTGTCAGGTTCTGGAATGTTACCTTTGATTATGATATGGCCTCAATATGGGAAGCGCAATATTATGACAGTCAGGCAATTCCAATCAATGGGTGTTAGACAAGGAAATTCAGTAATTAGATTAGGAAGGAATGGATATTGGGCTGACGGCGATACACCAATGATTTCTACTACAGACTGTTGTGTTGAGGAACATGAGTGGGTAATTTGCTCATGCTCTACAATGTTTAGTCTATCTCTTAATGGTTCTGCTGTTTGGGAAGTAGTTCCTTTAGATCAAGCCACAGGTGCATGGCAGGTGTCAGAAGCACAGTGGTGTATATTACATGATGGAATAAGTGAAAATATGATATACGGGGGAAAGTTGTGTCCAATTCCTCCTGATCCATTTTGCCTTGAGATTCTCTATCCTCTTCACTTGGGTGGAATTCATGTTCCACATGTGCAATTGTTGCAGGTAGAGCCACAATGGTGGAATAATGATCTAGTAGAAGAACGGAATTATGAACTCTTTGAAATGGTTAGAAGAGTTAAAAAGAGTGTAAAAGCAGCTCAAGAGGAGGGAATTCAAGCAATGGGTCATGTTATTGTAGCAAATGGAGTAGCTAAATTAATGTCTGAGAGGAAACTACCACGAATCCTAGGGAATTTATCATGGTCAGATTGGATAGTTTTGACTATGGTAGGAGTTTTTGTGTTCATGCTAATAATCCAAGTCCTTATATGTGTTACTAGAAGGAAAAGTACCAAACCTGTCAAATTGATTATTTCTAACCAAATGGGTAGAACTAAGAATGGGACATACAGCGTGAAATAAGAGATTTTACACATTCTACACTACCTCACAAACAATGAACATCCGTTTACTGATTTTCAACCCCAAGGGATAGGATCCTTTAACATCAACGTTTATTTTAATTTCTTGTTTTGGTTCGGAACTGGAGGATTTAATTAATTAACGAGTTAATTAATTAATGAGTTCAGGCACGGACAGAAGACTTTTTAGTTTTTCTTTTCTTAGATTATTGGGGTTCATTTTAAATGCATACACATAGATATTAAAATACACATAGTATACGGGAACATATCATGGGTTGGGGTTTTGTTCTTTGTTTTGTTTTTTTTCCTTTCCGGTTTCCATTCTTCTGTTCTTTCTATTTTCTTGGTCTGCTATTTCTTCTCCTCACTATCACTTCTATAGGTTGGCCACCTGGGAATGATGGTGTGGAACTGACGGCCGTAGTTCCAGTGGAGGGAGATGAAGATTCAAAATTTCATCTTTTAATATTATTTCATTATTAAATATTATGTATCTGTATTATTATTCTTTATTAATATTCATAATCAGTAGTATCATCTTATGAAGTTTCAAAAGCATGAGTTTGAATGCATGAGGGGCTATAGATAGCATGGGTCCATGGGATGATCATATGTCAGACAGGGGGAAGCTATATTTTGCTTAGAGGGTGTGTACAATGTAACATGTTCTACTGATGTGAGTGTATCACAGATGTAAACAACAAGGATAGTTCTTAATATGGAAGTGAATTGTGACATGTTAAACATGACGTGTACGTATGACATATAGGTTCTAATTTTAAGAAGCTCAGAGCAACATGTTTTGTTACCTTACAAGGAAGCTGTAAGACTCTTGAATTGTGGCATGTTAAACATGACGTGTACGTATGACATATAGGTTCTAATTTTAAGAAGCTCAGAGCAACATGTTTTGTTACCTTACAAGGAAGCTGTAAGACTCTCTGTGATGTATAAAAACTCAATCTTACTGTACTACCTCAGAGAAACACGGAAACGCATTGACCTGGCATGAATTCAACATCTTGAAGTTTCTCTCCTGACATATAAGAATAAAAATCTTTCTTGGCAAGATAACTGGTGTCCGGTCCCGTAAATCAAATAATAACGGGGAAACAAAAGAGGCTTTAATTCCAAGTCTACAATTATCATGCAGTTCCTGACCATTAAACCTCCACGGCTATTTACACAGTGCCGTTAACTGATTGAAATCACACCTTTAATGCAGTGTCATATCTTGCTTTTGTTCTTCTGAAGTTTTATGACCTTCTGCTGGCCAATCACCTTCCATTCAAGAGCAGTGGGTGGCTGATAAAAGCAGAAACATCAGAGCAGTACGATTCATAAGAGCACTGCACCCACTGGCTGATCAAAACAACACATTGCAGCTGTAGCAGCTTTCAGGGCATTTATCAAGCTTGCAAACTTGGAAACAGTCACTGAAGGTAAGCTCATTCATTGATTTTTAATATGTGCTGTTATCATTTGTCGCTCCTTTTTATTCTAATTACAAGGTGAGTCACTGGACCTTCATGCAATGGAGGGTTACATAATAGTGCAATTAAATCGACACTGCAGGAGAAAATGTTAGAAACAGATTGTGACTAGATGGAACCAAAGAAAAAACAAGACGACTATGAAAAATGTTACAGCTTATTGGGTGGCAGAAAATCAACGTCAGCTTCAAAACAGCCCATTTCAGTTGGAGGACGACTGTGGGGTAGTTCAATACAGCGTAATGGTTCTGTTTTTCATCTTAGTCCGAGGAAGAGAGAGGTGTTGGCTCACGCCATCCTTGTATCTTTATTATTATAATTTGGTACCCATTCTCTGAACAAAGTACGCACCGCTTCAAAGCTAAAAATGTTAAGCTCTGCTTAAAAGCACAGCTAAAATTAGACAGATAGACAGACAGACAGACAGACAGATAGATAGATAGATAGATAGATAGATAGATAGATAGATAGATAGATAGATAGATAGATAGATAGATAGATAGATAGATAGATAGATATATTTTGACAGTTGGATTTTGAAGAATCTTGGCCCATTTGAACAGACAATGTAAGTCTATGGGATATTTGGAAATTTTGATCATCCATTTTAGGATAACTGTAAGTCATATCAGTAAGAAAAGACATAGCATATCAAGTCAGAAGGTGTGCAGTGTTTGGTGGTCATAGATTTAAAGCTTAGAGTTGGAAATTTTGTTTTTAGAAGAAGATATATAATACATTTTTATGCTGATAGGCTGTTTAGTGTTGGTTTGGTGTTTGAGTAACTGGTCGAGCAGTAGCTGATGAACTAGCATGGCTGGTGTAGCTGTTTAAGGTTGATGGGGACACTAGCACACCTATTATAAACAAAAATTTCACCTGAAAACTAAAAAGATATGAGATGTTCTAAGAGTTGCTTGTTCACTTTGCAGGGGCCAAGATGTGGTTTTCCTGGATTCTGCTCCTGGCGTCTCTAGCAACATCCTCCGCTTCGTTAAGAACACGAGAATGGGCTCATCACGGAGCTTTGATGTTTGCAGATCTCACTCCCCGAGAGATGAACGCCGTGAGAGACTACCTCTACTCCTGCAGCGAGCTGGGCCTCACCTCGGCGCGAGACAAGTCCCTCAAGAAGAACAGCATTTTCCTTATGGAGCTGCACGTTCCGCGCAAACACGAGGCGCTCCGTGCGCTGGACAGAGGACAGGCGAAACCTTCCCGGCAGGCACGTGTTGTGGTCCAGTTTGGGAACCAAATGGAGCCGAACGTAACAGAGTTTATCGTTGGCCCCCTGCCTTTCCCAAAGTCCTACCATTTGAAGACGTTCAAGGGTGAGCGCCTCATCCGCTTCGAGTCGAGGCCGATCTCCTCGGTGGAGTACGAGCACCTGAGTGGGGTTTTGGAGAAAGTTGCAGCTAAAGTAAACAAAATTCTGCAGGAGAGCACCGGGTTTACTTTCGGCAACTGCACCGATCGCTGCTTGACCTTCTCGGACATCGCTCCTCGAGGTTTAGGCCCAGGAGAGAGGCGTACATGGATCATGCTGCAGAAGTTTGTGGAGGGCTACTTCATCCACCCCGTGGGCTTCGAGGTCCTTGTTAACCACAAAGACCTTGATCACAATAAGTGGACTGTGGAGAAGGTATGGTATAACGGACAGTATTTTGATAGCGTGGAGGAACTTGTGGAGAAGTACGAGAAAGGGACGATCTCTAAATTCAAGTTACCGGAGCATGACGAAGAGGATCTTTTCTCTACTTACATTCCCCGTGGACACATGAACACACGGACGAACATCCATGGAGCAAAGCTTGTCGAACCTCAAGGCCGCAGATTCCAGGTGGATCAGAACTTTGTGGAATATGCTGGATGGTCTTTTGCCTATCGGGTTCGCTCTTCGGCTGGGTTGCAGATCTTTGACCTTCGCTTCAATGGGGAGAGAATTGCTTATGAAATCAGCTTGCAGGAAGCCATCGCCTTCTACTCTGGAGACACTCCAGCCGCCATGCAGACCAAATACATTGACGCCGGGTGGGCGATGGGCACCTCGGATTATGAATTGGCACCTGGGATCGACTGTCCAGAAATTGCTCATTTTGTGGACCTTTACCATTACTATGATACGGACAAACCTGTGCGTTACAGAAATGCTCTTTGCATCTTTGAAATGACCACTGCAATTCCTCTGAGAAGACACTACAATAGCAACTTCCAAGGAGGCTTTAATTTTTATGGAGGCTTGGAAAATCACGTTCTGGTGCTCAGAACCACATCGACCGTGTACAACTACGACTACATCTGGGACTTTGTCTTCTACCAGAATGGCGTGATGGAGTCTAGAGTGAGTGCGACTGGGTATATCCATGCAACGTTCTTCACGGAAAACGGATTGAACTATGGAACCAGGGTTTACAACTATGTACTTGGGAACCTGCACACCCATCTAATTAATTACAAAGTGGACCTTGACATTGCAGGTGAGTTGTTATCGGTGTGCAATCTGAACTCTATTTCTCAATCTGATCTATTTTGTGATCTCTGTGCAAATTACAACACAATAGATGGTACATTGGAGCCGATTGCATAATGTGTTTCACTTAATAAAGACCCGCTCTGTCTCTTTTAACAGGGAGGGACAACAGCTTTGAATCCATTGATCTGAAATATGTTAACTTTACCAACCCCTGGAGCCCAGAACACACCGTCGTGCAATCGAAGCTGCATAGGACGCAGCATGAAACTGAACGTAGTGCTGCCTTCCGCTTTGGCAAGAAGTTTCCCAAATACCTGCACTTCTACAATCCCAATCAAAACAACAAGTGGGGGCATAAGAAGGGCTATCGAATCCAGTACAACTCACATGGTAACAGTGTTTTGCCCCGGGGCTGGAGGGAAGAAAATGGTATTACTTGGGCAAGGTAGGCTCTCGCAATTAATGCAAAAGTTATAAAACATTTGTCTATTTGCATTCTGTGGTGACTAGTTAAGCAAATCTTCATGATTCTGTTGATTGCAGATACCCACTGGCTGTAACCAGACACAAGGACAGCGAGGTCACCAGTACTAGCATCTACACCCAGAATGACCCGTGGGAGCCTGTTGTTTCCTTTGAGGAATACATTCGCAACAATGAAAACATTGTTAACCAGGTACACAGATTGAGACTTGAAGAATTACTTGACTTTCAGTTGCAAATAGACCTTGCGCAGCCCAAACAGGTCATCAAGTGCACTAAAAGTAAACAAAAAACAACATAGTCAGCGTTTACTGGTGAATAAATAAAATGCGATGACGATTAACTAGTACCAACTAAAAAAATATTTGAATGGCATCAATTTATTATTCTACTGAATTCAGTGTCATAAACAACATCACTGATAGCAGTGTTATAATTAATATTTACTAATATTGTTAATTAGGTTTTATTAATATATTTTCCATTTTAATTTTAGTTAATTCTTTAGTAATTTGGTTGTCAACAAAATTTATTGTCAATTTGGTTGATTTAAAAAAAAAATTTTTATGTCTACAGTTTTTTTCCAGTTTGACTTTAATTTTAGTACTTCAACTTTAATGAAACAAAAATTTTAAATGTTACCTTGGCAACTAACTAAAAATAAATTAAAGGGGTAATGACATGTATTTTTTATTTGATCACTTATAATATTAATAAAGTTTTTTGTATAAGTTTCTTTCTAAACTCTGTATTACACTTTGCCTCGCTGAAAAAACAATCTGCTCCGTACAAACATATAATCCTCCGACGTGACCCGGGGCGCCATTAAAATAAACCATCCACTTGTTTCCGACGCTGAGATCCTTCTGAAATCTTTACAGAGACGCAAACCAGCTGTTTAAACTGAATGATCAAAGCGAACATTCGTTCACTACTCCATTTGTCCTGATGTAAGCAGATGTCAGAAGCTGAACACACATCTGTATACTGTATCAGTGTAGACAGCATCAGTGATCACAATGGCTATTTGCTTTTGTCCCGAAGCTCACATCCAGTGTAGGCAAATATCAGAACAACCTAATACCAGTGGGCGTGGCCTATGGTGCGATGATGTATAACTATTCGTCAATGTCTTGCTATGGAGGCGGACATATGCGAATGTATTTGTGCGTTCACAGATCCTGCAAAATCAAAATGAGCCATTTTTGGAGCTTTATTAAATAATTGCTTTTTTTTATAATGAGAAAGTTTTAAGCTATGAAATTTGCAGCATGTTAAAATAGTACAAAGACCTCTTATATATCATAGAATCAAAGCAATTTTGATTTCTCATGCCATGAACCCTTTAAGGTGTTATATCTTATTTTATTTAGACTAACAAAAATTTGTCTTAATAGTTTTAGTTTAAGATAATATTCCTGATTGGTTATAGCTCAATTACTAGATAAAGATATACCAGAATCTAAAAATGCACAATTGAGAATTTGCATATTTCTTTGCAGGATTTGGTTGCCTGGGTGACGGTGGGATTCCTACACATTCCTCATTCTGAAGACATTCCCAACACAGCGACTCCAGGAAACTCGGTGGGATTCTTCCTACGTCCCTTCAACTTTTTTGACGAGGACCCCTCGCTAGCGTCCCGCAGCACGGTCATCGTGCGGCCCGATAAGAAGGGCCAGCCAAAGGTGCAGAGATGGACTCCAGAGGTCGTAGGTCACTGTGTCTCAGACAAGCCTTTCTTCTATAACGGCACATACTCTGGTGTCTAGGCAGAGACCGAGCTCGTTTCATGTTGCGTTGGTGTTTTTGTGCTGTATGTAAAATTTAGAAACAGCAGAGTTTATGAATTTAAATGCTAATTGTGTCAAATATTTAAAACCATCTGAACAAATGAACGTCAAATTCCTTAAATGTAAAGCTTATGAAAAACTGTATCTTTGTCTGACATTAAATATTTTCACAATTCAGAAAGGTTTGTGTTTTTCTCTGAAATTGTCACATTTCAATTCATAATACTTGATCAGGTCTCCCTGGGTGAAGAGATGGGATTGAGATATCTCAATGGGATTTACCTGGTTAAATAAAGGAAAAATAAAATAAATAAATAAAATCAAAAGAAAAATACAAAATTATATTTTGCATAAATGTAATATTGATATTTATAAATATTAGTTTAATTGCAGATGAATTGCAAGGCATCAGTTAGAATTATTTCTAAATTTAGATAACTAAGGATCTTACTAATTTTTGTAGTAATAGTGATGATAATAAACAGATTTTCTGCGTTTCAAGGTTCAATAATGTTTCATAACACTTCACGAGTTTTCGTGTGATACACTTGCTGAAGTGTTTTTGAATATGAATGTGTAATCATTTCATGTACTGAGGACACTGTGTGTTTATACTGGTTGTCATGGTAACCGCATTGTGAGATGAAGTGAGTACCCTTGAAATCCGCAAGTGAGAGGGATGTATCCATGGACGGGGCTTATCGGCAGAGAACATCCAGGATTCAGGATGCTGTATCCGCAATCGCATGGATCCAGCTGTCCTATATGGGCCGAGCATGAGCGGGAAACAGGCTTCTTATGTAAACAGCCTCTCTTCTCTCTGCAAACAGTCCACCATTCACCTGCAGGGTCTCCCATGGAAACCTACAAGAGACGGCAGGGGAAAAGAGCTTCATTCATGATCAAAATCTTACAATAATCAGACTTATTATAATTATTTGTTTAAGTAGTCACTTATTTTTATTTGCAAAACCAGCTGGCGTGAGAATTTTTTTGCTTTTGGGGGTAAAAATATAAAAATAATGAATTAAATATATATAATTCTCTATATATACAAAAAGAATTGTGTGTATTTGCAACTATACATTGTTAAACTATGAACTATATATAACTATAAATACATTCCAACACCAAATTCTATACACGTAGTGTATTTAAAGGATTTCACAAGTATATTTTATTACATAAGCGTACATTATCTTTACATTTTCTCTACAATTTTATTAGTCTAAAAGAAAACTTAATCTTGTTAGCTTGTTTCCACCACAGAATAAAAAATTTAAAAGTTAATGATGACTTTTTTTATCTCACAATTCTGACTCTTTTTTTTAATGCGAGTTAAGTAATAATTGTAAGATATAACCTCTTTTTTTCCTTAGAATTGGACTTTATAATTATTATAAAAAGTCATAATTGCGAGATGTAAACTCGAGACTTTTAGTTTGAAAGACGTACGCTAATGCTGCGGATTAAGTAAAGTACGCTGAGAAAAAACGCTATCAGATGAGATGTGGTCGGGCGATATGTCAGTGCCATTATTACCATTATTATAACGTTATTTGCGTATCTTGTTTCGAAATAAAAAGTCTCTCACCTCAGAACTTTCCTGTCCTGTCAGACGTCTCTCTTCAATTGCGCGCGCAAATGGGGAGGCGCGCTATCACGTCACTAAATGAGCAAATGAAATCACGAGCATGCAGAGTCACAGTTACGTTGTCAATTAGTAAGTTAGGAAATTGCCAAAAAGTACTAATCAATTATGTAACTGGTGGTATGTCTGTGTTACCAGGGAATTTGCATGCAAGTATGATTTTCATTCTATTCTTTAGGATTAGCATCACACTTCATCCTATTGTGTAGCCTATTTGTTAACTAGTTTCTGTAACCTAAACCCAAAATACCACTTTTCATTTCACTTTGTGCTATTTTCTATATTTTTGAGGACATATCATATTATATTGTATTATGAAAATCTAGTTTGGGACTGCTATTTAATAGCCTTACCTTATACTATTTATTTAAGAGTTAGAGATATTCTTACAATTTATGTGTATGTTAATTAAAGTGGGACAGTGTGTGTGTGTGTGTGTGTGTGTGTGTGTGTGTGTGTGTGTGTGTGTGTGTGTGTGTGTGTGTGAACCATTTTTGAGAAATAAATGTGGGTCGAGGCTTAATGAGCATGTGAAAGTGTGGGTCCCACAGCAAAACCAGTTGAGAAACCACTGGTATACATCAATATTAGTCTGATTTTCCATCAGTGGAAGCATGTGTGACTGCTGGTGACCAATAATACATTCTTTTCCTTTTAACTGTTTGTTCAGAGTTTACAGTGTTAAAGAGGTCTATATGGAACAGGACAGGGATTGAAACGCAGGGATTCCATTCTTTAAATTCACCATGGCAACAACAACTCACACGTCACATCACTAATGATCCTTACAAAACAAGTTTCTGTCTACACACACACACACACACACACACACACACACACACACACACACACACACACACACACACACACACACACACACACACACACACACACACACACACACACACTTTCGCTCACTCTCACACACACACACACACACACACACACACACACACACACACACACACACACACACACACACACACACACACACACACACACACACACACACACTCTCTCTCTCTCTCTCACACACACACACACACACACACACACACACACACACACACACAGGGTCAACTCTAATATTTTGTATTACAGACAACTCTTGAAAAGCGACACATTACACTGAACTACACATTCATCTTGGTTTGTTGAATTGAATTAGGAAACACTGACACCTAGTGAAAACTCACTGATTTACTAACAGTTTCGTCACATCTGTACTTTTGTCCTTCATGTGCTTTACTCTATGGAAAAAAGTAATAACATTAACTATCATAATAACTGTAATTTTAATTACACACACCTCTGTGTCAGCTTTATGGTTTCATCGATTCGATGGTAGGTTTATGCTAATTCAATAAATATTCATAGTCTTTTCTTCATCCTTAAAAGAATAATACAAAAACTGCCAACAGGAATAAAACATTTAAAATATTGAATAGTGCATTTTGCGCTCAGACAAAATATGACAATGGTTCAGACAACTGTAATGATCAGATGAATACATTACAATTGGCATATAGATACAAATATTTTTGATTCATTAGTAAATTATCATTTATTTTGTGTTGATAGTTAATAAAATCGCCGTAGTTAGGAAAGCAAACACTTGGCCTTGAGCAGAGTTAATTCTGTGTTAAATTTTGATTTAAAAAAACCCAATTTATTAACTGATAGGCCTATTTGCATCTGTGTACTATAGTGTGGTGCATGGAGAAAACATACACACATGTATATGTAAGGAATATTTTCTGTTGGGTTTAAAATCCAGAAACATATAACAGGCTAAATTGCTTACTTTCAAATACATTTTTTGGGTTCCGGAAGTATTTTTTCCATACTTTTTTTCTAAACCATTTATTTAAAACTTTTTTGCTCATTAATTGAGAAACTAATGATAATGATATTTCAACTCTGCAGTCAAATTCAATCCGTTATATGCCATTCAATGACATGCCTTATATATATAATATATATATAGGCTAATGATAATAATACTAATATTACCCAAAATTGGCCTAAAATAATATAACTAAAGTACAATACTGATACGTATTGCAGGACTTGTACTGGGTAATTAGACGATTTCTAATAGATTGTAAGATTGTGTAAGCCATCTTGTTGATATTTTCATGTTTCCCCTTAAACACGTATGCATCTTAAAGAGGAATACATCGACAGAGAACAGTGTGTGTTCATGTGAGCAGCAAAGATTCATTTTCATTATTACAACTGTTACAAGTACAGGCGGTTCCATACCTTAGTTACATATTAAGTACATTTTGTTAAATGTTATTACAATTTGTATTAAAATTACTCTGTAACACAAACACCATAAAATGATTACACAGCTTTTCGATCTTTATATCCAATGACTGAGAATTATTTTAAAGGCTATCAGCAAGTTTACAACCAAAACATGTTCAGTATGACACTATGCCAGCAGTGAATGAATGTTGTGATATAATAATCCATCATTGTTCTGGTAAACTGTGTTAAAATCATCCGCATAAGGGAGCGTATTCATTATGAGAATGAAACAAGAAAATATTTTGTAACCTGTATAATGTGACAATGTTTGAGCATCCAGTGACATCAAAAGTAGTTTGAGATGAAGAAATATTTGATGCAGAAACTTAAATCTATGACTTCAGACATAAAAAAAAAACATGTACAATTATTTAAAACAAAAACAAGTCAATAATGATGTTATCAAACTTTATTCATAGAAGCATTCATCCATTTTTATCCATTCAACGAGAGTCTTTTTGCAAGAGCTCATAAAGAGATGATACACACAGAGAGGAGTACATATAGAGTGTTTTAGGCATTAGTAGAAAGGATTACAGAACTCTGCGGTTTACAAGTACAGTGTTTAAAAAGGCTAAACATCATCATACCAGATTACCAGCATCATGAGGCAGAAAACTCAAAGAGGACTCGTGTGTGTCAGCGCTCTGATCATTCAAGGGCAGGAGTAACAGAGGACGTCACAGCTTCTAGCACGTCTATTTTCTCCAGTTGTTTCTTTACACGTCTGTACTGTATTTGCCACTGCTCAGCGGAGAGAGAGGAAGGACTGACCTCCAGAAACTTGTAGGCATCTCTGGTCTGGAGCTTAAAGATGGCAGATGCTCTTTGACAGCCTTCACCAAAACTGCTCCAAGCCTGTGGAATTAAAACATTTACAAGTCACATTAGACTTTTAGATGAACCTTAGTAATGGCTGGACAAAACAAGACTGACATTTAGGAGGGAACAGACAAGCCTTTTCTCAAGTACAAATAAAGTTGTTTTTTTTAATTATGATTTTTTTTTATCATGTCAACGGGAATTTTACCTCTGTGGCTGATTTGATTGAGTCAATAAATTCCTCTTTAAATGCGTAAATTTCCTCGATAAGATCTTCTCCAACAAAGGTCTTCTGTTCCAGGTTGTCCAGCATCTGACCAACACTCTCCCAGAAGTTTTTGAGCTGAATCAGAATGTCCTGAATTTTTGACAAGCTTTTCTGAACTTCATTTAGATGGATGGGGTTGGGTATGGACTCTGCAGAGGGAAAATTAATGTTTCAACAAGCCACACGTTCACTCCCTGTCTTAAACTAGACGTGAATCTTGGCACAGTCTTAAGCATGACTTGTCAGGTAAATATAGTTTAAACAAAAGATAAAACAGACTCACTCTTGTCAAAACGGGCTCTGGCAACCTTCATCTGCTGATCAATGATCTGGAGTTCAAGCTGCCACTGCTTCTGTTTCAGAGCAGTCTTCTCACCGATGAGGACATTCAGTTGAGCTTCAAGAGCCTTCAAATGTGCAGTGTGTTGCGGATTCTTTATAGCCTTATAAATGTTTTTAATAATCAGCCCGATGAATGGAACGATTGCAGCGAAGATGCCGAGGCCTTTACTTTTTTTAGTTATGGATCTGGCAAAATCTTGAATCTCTTGGCTTTTGCTGTTTATTTTTTTCTCAGTTTCAGCAAGCTCTGCTGCGGTTTTCTGGAGTTTAGATTTCATATCATTCAGGGCTTTTTCAGCCAGCTTCAACTCTTTGTCTTGTTCTGTAATATTTTTATCTGTATCTTCTTTTTCCTTGATAACATCACTGGTGGACGATGCTACATCTTTGTTGTGTAAATCATACCTATACAATGTTGAAGAAATGTTGCAGTGAAATTAGCATTTTATAACAATGGGCTGTGTAACTAGCTTAAAAGTTTCTTAAAATATGTTCATACTTTTGCCTTATTATAGCAGTTGCATGTTGAATAATAATTCAATTGCTCAAGGTATTTTGAAATATGTTTTCATGAGGAAAATATTCTTACTTTTCCACTATCTTGTCCACATCAGTGATAATGTCTCTGATCCAGACTTTTGCTTTTCCTAGGAATTTGATCGCCAGAGTAGCACTATTTTTCTCCACAACTTTTATCAAGATGGGAAACAGCATCTGAACCAGGTTTTGACTGGTCAAAATACACTGTGAGAAGGAAGAGACATAAGATCAAGTATCTTAGACCTTAGAAAATGATAGTCACACTGATGGCGATGAAACATTCAGAACTCTTATTGCCTGTATTTGTCCTGTAAATATTCCTGAAATGCTGTTCAAAATGCTGCTTGTTTTTATAATTTTAAGTTAAAAGTTATAAAAAGGTAATAAATGCATTTATAATTTATGAGAAGCATATCAAACCAACATGATGTGTATAAACTCTTATGTTAATGTTTTTTCACATATATAATTTTTCACTTTTTAATGTCACTTTTTGAAATATCTGCCTTGTTTTATTTTTGTTACATCGATTATTTTCTCATCGTTTTTTTTAGGAGACACTGCCTCCCTCGCCTCCTCGGTGGAAACGCACCACTTGTGGATTTATTTCAAAATAAAGGAGAGACTCTCATAACCAATTTAGCTCATTTTAATCTCTAGCTAAAAGACAAACTATATGACATGCTATTTACTACAGACCCTTCATGTTTGGTGAACACAAATTTCATTTTTTTTTCTTTCTTTCTAGTTGACAGAGATGAAAATACTGAAATCAAGAGAAATCTTAACCAGTACTTTCAACATAGTTGCATCAGAGGAGCCGAACAGAAGCCGGGTTTCCACCGCCCGAGCCCTGATGATTCTCTCCAGGTTGGGGAAGTTGGCCAGGCACAGGTAAGAGAGATTGTAGAGAAGCGCTGTCTTTTGGGCAGCCGGGAGAAGCTCCTGTACAAACCCCGGACTCCACTGGCACACAGCCACTGGTGAAAAAACATTGTATATTGTAGACTGAAAAGTTCACATTGATGGCTGGTATTGTTTTCAAATCTGTTTGATGAAATAAGATAATACTTGCTTTTGCTATCAGCCATCCTTAGTAGGTTTACACAAAAATGTGTGTGATGAGTTTCTCCTACGATGTACTGAAAGCAGAACAGTTTGGTTAAAAACATGTTTCCGAAAATACAAAATGTAACTCGAAGGATATCTGAAAATTGTTATAAAAATGTTAAGTGAAACTGGCTTACCTTTGTTTTAGTAAGTGATTTGGAGAACAAGATATCTGGTGCTTTTATACTAAAGGTTTGACCATCCTGCCTCCATCCTCAGGGAGAATAACTTGTTAAAAAACATGAGTGTGATGCATGAAATTGAACTTCAGTGTGTGTGTGTGATGGGTGTGGTGGGGGTTTGGCAGTTTGAGTCATGGTTTGGCACATTTTTCGAAACAGTCTAAACATTCTCTAAGCTTTAAGTGCAACTCTCACAACTGTTTCCTGGAACATCAAAACAATTGTGTGTCTGCAAAATGTAGTTACTCAACATTTAATTCACGTTTCAAACCTAGTTATTGTGTCAATAAATTGACCAATGACGCAAAAATAAAAAGTGTGTTTGTCATCGTGAGCCACACTGGTCAAAATGTTTAGTTGCTTTTTCACCATCAAAATATTTGTTATATTCAAATGTCATGTATTTTTCTACTTTTTTGTTGACTCAAACTGTACAAGAATGTCAGTGTAAATACAGATTCAGAGAGTAGGTCAAAATTGACTGGGAAAAGTCAACACTGTAGTACACAAAAATAAAATTAACATTTGTATTTATACAGTACAATTATTTTTGCAGCCATGTTACATGTAAATGGAAATTTCTTAGTTGCTTGTTCATTTTTACACACTCTATTGTCTTTCTCTGTCTGACAGAATTTGATCACTGAATGGATAATTTTGAATGTGATGGCTCACACGATGAAAGAATGTTTAGAAGTTGTGAAGAGTTTGACAATTTCACTGAGAATCAACTCATCAGTTTTGATCAACAAGCCATGTGCATTTATCATTGTAGACAACTGTACTTACTCTTTTGCACACATGCCAAAGCACATGCAATTTGCTTAAATCAATAAGAAATTAATTCAATAGAACAAAGATAAAATTGAAATTTACTTTTCATGCATTTGGCAGACACTTTTATCCAAAGCGACTTAAACTGCATTTCAAGGTAAACATCGAATCCATGACCTTGGCGTTGCAAGCGCCAACGCTGTACTGTTTGAGCTACAGGAAAGCTTTTAGATGCAGGAAAACTTTTAAATAAACTGAGCTTTAAAAATTTCAGGTACGTCTAGTATTCATGTAAGAAATATTGCAGAAATGTCATAAAATTCAAATCTAAAATAAAGCATTATCTTCACTGTATAAATTAAATGTCGATTAATCCTTATTACAGCTACAAAAGTTGTTCAGTCAAGAGCAGTGAGTGATTTTCTGTGTTTTGTTCTTTGATTATTATTAAGGACACAGACATTTTGTTTGTTCAGTTCTGTTTATTAAAGCTTATTATGAGCCGAAAGTACGATTTTTGGTGCAGCATAAAATTTGTATCAATTGTAAGACTGGAAAGACTGGAAAAACTCATTCATTATAAATTCACAACTGATTGCTCGCCGACGTTCTTGATCCATCCCTTTGATCAACTCAGAAAACTTTCTTTTAGCGCCCATGAAATTTGTTCCCTGATCACATCTTAACTGGCGCACAGGTCCTCTGATGGCTATGAACACTTGAAGTGCATTCAATAAAAGCGTCTGTGGTCAGATCGTCAAGCATCTCTATGTGTACGGCTCCAGAGCACAAGCAGGTAAACAGCAATTCATATTGTTTTAATTCCTTTCTTCCCTCCTTTACGATGAAGGGGCCGAAACAATCTATACCACTGAATGTAAAGAGATGGGATATCTCTGTTCTCTCTTCTGGTAGATCTATAGATCTGGTATACATCAGTAGCTCCTCTGTATCTTCTACATTTACACACTTGTAGATGTGTGAAGAGACTACGTTTCCACATCCCAAGATCCATACTCCGTATGCACGCAACTCATTCATGGTTATGCCTCTTCCTTGGTGGTGTACATGCTCATGATGATGTTTAACGAGCAAGGCTGACACGTAAGATTTCTTCTGAAGTATTACGGGATGCTTAACGTCATGATGCAAGGTTGATTGAGATAGCCGTCCTCCCACCCTGAGGACACCATTCTTGTCCAAGAAGGCATTTAACTGACGCAAACTGTTGTGCTTGTTCAGGGTACCTTCTTTCTGGAGCTTGATCTTTTGGATATCTTCAGAGAAGGCGTCTTCTTGCACCAGCTTGATAGTGGCTATTTCAGCTTCTTTTCTTTCTTCAAGACTAGTTGCTTCATTTGTTCTTGGCTGAACTGTCTTGAATTCTCTGATACACCTCTTGAGCCTGGCAACAGCCCTCACTGCCCTGGACCAGTCGGAAAATTTGGTAAAGCGATTCACCATTGAATTCACTACCTTAACTGTCCTGTCTTAACTATGCAAACGTGGGCTTTCCGAAGCTCCGGGTCAGTCATTTCTATTTCTCCCACCATTTTCTCTATGTGTGGGAGATTCCTCTGCCACAGAAAGTCGGGTTCCTTTAGTCAGTTAGACTCTTTCAGCTAAATGGCACTCAGCCCTCGTGAGGCATGGTCAGCAGGGTTGTTTTCAGAGCTGACATGACGCCATTGTTCAGGGTACGTACTGGATTTTATGCCTCAAACGTGTGAAATCTCTTGGCATCACTATTCACATCGCAAAGGACCACCATCGAATCAGTCCAGTAATACTCTTGCAGGTTTTCAAGTTGCCTTTATATGACATCACCGTTACGGACTGAAGTCACAGCTGACGACAGTTCAAGCCTTGGGATAGTCGTTAACTTGGTTGGGGCTATTCTCGCCTTCTCAGCCTCTTTTCGGGCTATTATGTCATTCATGAAATCGACATAATCCTTGTGAAACTGTTTGTATCTCCTCATTCGCCACTCTAATGAGATGAGTCTATGAACTGCAGATTGTTTATTATCTGGGAGACCAGGTTTATCTGTCTTGAAAGGAAGAGGAAGTTCATAGTGGCCATCTTCCTTCCTTATACCTTCTCTCGCCTTGGATAAGAAGAGCATGTTTTCCTGAGAAACTGGGTCATTATCTGCACTGTGATCTGTGAAGTCGAATTCAAGTGCCTTAATTACATCTGTT